ATCAGTTTATCAGTTTTTTCTCCATATACAAACATATTCCTCTCTCTCTCTCTCATCATCATCAGCAGTAGCAGCAGCATCACATTACTATTATTATTTTTTTTATTATTATGATGATGATGATGATTATTATTATTATCATTATTATTATTATCATTATTATTATTATTATTATTATTATTATCATTATTATTATTGTAATTATTATTATTATCATTATTATTTTATCATTATTATTATCCCTATTACTGTTATTAATATTATCATTATCGTCATCAATATGTGGCGACCCACCGACCATGAGCTTGCTATGTTACGAACCGTACTTTGAAAATCCCTGATCAACAGCATCATAACAGAAGCACACCCACATACGCTTCCGCTGCCTCGACTACAGAATAACGCAGAATTACGCAAAACCGAAAGCGTAGCCATGGTAACGTTGTCGTCAGAGCAGCGAAGTTAAAACACACGCTTTGGCAAATCACTTTAATGCACCTTCTGAGTGTTCTGAGCAGGGGATGACCAGCAGTCATCCACGGTCACTTTCTATTTGTGTCTGGGGGCGTGACAAGCGTCGTGTGACCTGAATGGTGTTACGTATGACAGCTTAATACTGTTTGATGTACCTTAATGAAAGGAATAAAGTGGTTCTGTGCTAGTCGTGTATCTTCCTGCCCTTCTCTGGTGTAGTTTAGGTTGCATCATGAATGTCTTCCTATGGGAATATCACTGAAGTCTCTCTTGCGCTGTAAAAATGTTCTTTCAAGTTCAGATCGGTCGAAATGACATAGTCGGGCCGAAATATGAACCCTGATCTTTTAATCCAAGTTTTTATTAGTCAAGTTACGGGAGTTTAACGTAGTGGAATGAAATTGAAGTAACACGCACACACACACACACACATACACACACACACACAAACACACACTCACACACACACACACAGAAAAAGAAAAAGAGAGAGGGGGAGGGAGGGAGAGAGAGAGGGAGAGAGGGAGAGCGAGAGGGAGAGGGAGAGAGAGAGAGAGAGAGAGAGAGAGAGAGAGAGAGAGAGAGAGAGAGAGAGAGAGAGAGAGAGAGAGAGAGAGAGAGAGAGAGAGAGAGAGAGAGAGAGAGAGAGAGAGAATGAGAAGGAGAACAATTTTTAAATAGAATTATTGAGAAGTTAAGTTAACCCGTAGGTACACAGCTTTCACTCGACAAGCTTCCAGGGCCATGATACTGCGAAGCCACAATTTAACTGTCATATGGGAGCGTCGATTGCTACATGTATGTGTGTGTGTCTGTTTGTCTATCTGTCTGTCAGTCTTTTTCATAGCCACACACACAGACATACACACATATATACACATACATATATACACACAAATATATATATATTTTTCTCTTCTTTTATTTTTTTCCTTCTCTTTCTTCTTTCTTTCTTTCTTTTCATTTTTATAGACACGAAATCGATAAAGTTACTTAATCACCACAAATCAATAACGCAGAAAAAATAACTTTCTCTCAGTCATCTTTTCACCCTATTTATCGGCCTCTGTCTTATCTCCTCTTTGTTGCATCACGGACCAGTAGTAGTTTTTTTCTTGTTTTTTGTTATTGTTACTAATCTAACGAAGGAAGTCCTATTGGCTATTAGTTTTCTTGTGATTTTTTTACGGTGTTGTTTTGGTGAGCCTTTGGAACCGATAGTAATAAAAAGAAAAAAAAGAAAAAGAAAAATCAATTTCTTTGGTAGTTAATAAATCACTTCCTTCTACCTCTCTCTCTTTCTCTATTCTCTCTCTCTCTCTCTGTCTCCCTTTCTCTCTCTCTCTCTCTCTCTCTCTCTCTCTCTCTCTCTCTCTCTCTCTCTCTCTCTCTCTCTCTCTTTCTCTATTCTCTCTCTCTCTCTGTCTCCCTTTCTCTCTCTCTCTCTCTCTCTCTCTCTCTCTCTCTCTCTCTCTCTCTCTCTCTCTCTCTCTCTCTCTTTCTCTTTCTCTTTCTCTCTGTCTGTCTCTCTCTCTCTCTCTCTCTCTCTCTCTCTCTCTTTCTCTCTCTCTTTCTCTCTCTCTCTCTCTCTCTCTCTCTCTCTCTGTCTCTCTCTCTCTCTCTTCTTCTCACTCTCTTTATCATAGTTTCTGTATATATCTTTATTTTCTATCAAGGTCCATTCTCCCTTCTTTCTTTCTTTCTTTCTTTCTTTCACACAGACTTTTATTCGTTTTTACGCCTTCCACTTCCTTTTGACCAATTAAGATCTTTCCAGGATCATTTATATCATCGGTTCAATTAATATTTTGCATTAATCAAGTTCATTTTGTAATTAATCTCCTCTGTCCATCTCTCTCTTTTTCACCAGAGAGAGAGAGAGAGAGAGAGAGAGAGAGAGAGAGAGAGAGAGAGAGAGAGAGAGAGAGAGAGAGAGAGAGAGAGAGATAAAGAAAGAGAGAGAGAGAGAAAGAAAGAAAGAGAGAGAAAGATTAATAAGCATTTTATTCATCAACAAAACTTACTC